CAATCCATTGCATTTCCAATAAAAACACAGTTAAAAAAAAATAGTCAAACACAATATTAACTGAATCACAAGAATTTAAGTATCTTTGGTGCAGGAAAAAAACGTGAGCAAACCACCAGCAAAGTGACATACTCACAATTCTGATGACTCCTCAGCTAGGATGCCTCTAGATTCAGGGCGAGTTTTTAATGTGTAAGCGGTCGGTAGTTCCGATATTTTAAGTACCCATAAAAGCTGGTTATAAACATTGTAGGCAACTTTACGTTCCTTACTTGGAAAATATGCTGTTCTCCACAGGGTTGTTCATCATTACATGTAAACACAGAAATAATGTTCAAATGCAATGGATTGAGGGTATGACTGCAGCGAATAATGCCTGGCAAAAGTAAATATGCTCAGTTACAAGCGGAAAAAATTATTCCTTCAATTTGTTTTTTTTGGAACATAATGACTATATTTTAGGCATGCTGTGACAACAATGTTAATGTTTTATCTTTGCTTATCTTTGTTAAAATGTTATCTCTTAGTTTTTGTGAAGAAAGCACTTTCTGAGAGCTGAGTATAGCGACTTTGAGAGGGGCAGGGTTATTGCCTATCTAGCTGTTGGTTTGTCCTACCGCCATCGCCGTGTTAATTGTACTGCAGTGGCGGTAATGCGTGTGTGTAGTGTGTGGATTGTGGAAGATAGAGGAACACGATGAAGGCCAGCTGGTCCACCGAGGCGTACCACGTAGCGTGAAGGCAAATAACTATCCCTATGAGACCGAGCAGAGAATAGCAACATTTTTTGACATAATGGCATAGTGTCATCTTCCGCGATGAAACGCGATTCTGTCTAGATAGACACGATGTCCGTAGAAGGATAAGACGCCGCCGTGGATAACGGCGTGATATTGTGTGTGCTGTTGAGAGGCATGTACACATGACTGTTATAGTGATGGTTTGGGAGGCTATTGCCGTTGGTAGCTGACTCCCCCCCATCTATTTGTTCAAGGCAATATGACTGCTGCGCGTTATGTTGATGATATCCTACAAACCACTTTACTGCTGTATCAAGAGGGCCGTCCACACGTCCTTTTTCAGGAAGACAACAGTCGTCCCCATATCGCTACGTCGGACTTTCTTCAAGAATCAGGCGTTCATGTTTTTCCGTGGCCACCCCATTCACCGGATTTAAATCCCATCGAATATGTGTGGGATATGATGGGGAAGAGTCTATCCACTGCGCACCGTCCGTCACAGATTCTGCCACAGCTAATCCACGAAGTTGGAGTTGCTTGGAATGAGGTATGACAACCATCATCGATAATATGAATGAATAAAAAGTTGATGATTTGATACAGGAACTTTAAAGGTGAAAAAAGAAATTTTCCTTTTCCTGTACAGTCTTCATCACTGGTGGATTATGACTAGGTTCTTCTAGAAATTAAAGAGCGGAACCGTAGGACACAAAATATAATTATATTTGGACTGAAAATCAAAGTAGGTATCAACGTATTATTTTATTCTCCGCTATGGGTGCTTCAGAACTAAGGGATCAAACTTCTAAGGGTTATTTAGTGTAACAGTAGAAAGCGTTTGAGTATAGGGACCCATATCCGGAAATGGGTCACTACGGCCCTAAGTCGCGTTAAAATTCAGAAGGACGATACATTGCCTAGATAGGATTGAATGCATTTTTGCCTTTTGTCTTCCTCCAACCTGAATACACCGATTTAAACGTCGGACATGATTTCGGCGGACTTGACTAAAAATTTGATACTCATTTTGAATGACTTCAAATGCTGCTGTAATTCGCCCAATTGAGTCTTGCTCTGCTTCTACTGGACAATCGTAAACCAAAGACTTAACATGTCCCCGCAGGAAAAAATCTAGCGACGTTAAATGGGGTGACCTAAGAGGCCAAAAAACTGCTCCACCTCGGGCAGTCCAACGATGCCCAAACCGCTGAGCTAAATACTCACGTACTTGTACTGCAAAGTGAGCCGGCGCTTCATCATGCTGAAGCCACATTTGCTGTGGAACGTTCAATGGAACATTTTCAAGAAGTTCTGGAAGAACTTCCTCCAAGAAACGCCGGTAAATAGGTCCTGTTAACCATTCCGTTAGAAGGTATGGCCTAATCAAATAATCATCAACAATGCCTGCCCATACGTTGACAGACCAACGTTACTGATGTTTTCTAGGAAAAATTGCATGGGAATTTTCTTTGTCCCAAACGTAGCTATTCCTACTATCAAAAATATCGCCTCTTGTCACGGTCCATGAAACATAGCGTAAAAAATTTGGTTGTGCAGCAATTTGGTGAAGAAGCCATAGAAAAAATTGAACTTTAGGATGATAATCGGCCGCAGCCAATCCTTGAACTTTCTGGAAATGGTAAGGACAAAGTTGTTGCTCGTGTAGCACCCGCCAGACGGAAGCGTTACTCGTATTCATATCCTCAGCAATGTGGCGTGTGCTACTTGATAGTTCGTCGGTAACTCGCTGAAGGACCTCTTCTTCAAATTCGACCGTTCTTACGGCTCGAGCAACACCAGTATCACGCATTTTGGTTTTAAACATGCCTGTCTCGGAGAGCCGCCGACGAATAGCAATAAACATTTTGAATCCCGGATGCTGTCGTTGCAGCTTGTTGCTCCGTATGCCAAAGTTTTCCATTAGCTATAATTATTTTTTGTTAAATTCGTACAAACTTCACAAATACGATAGCACGACAAAGGCGATATGGAATGCAGCTACAAAAAACAATCTCTGTTAAGGTTAATTCCCACTATACATTCCGTTTCCATTCCGTAACCGTTCCGTAAATTATTGAAATTAAATATTCGCCTTCGCTCAAAGCAGTCTATTGCGTGTGTATGCACATTATCCGTAAGGTATACTGTGTATACAATCAAATTTTACTGAACGTTTACGGAACTGATATGGAATGGAAACGGAATGTATAGTGAGAATCAACCTTTATCGTCTTTAAAGATGACAACACACAAGCGCCGGGTATGGGTCCCTATACTCGAATGTTTTCTACTGTTACACTAAATAACCCCTACAAGTTTGATCGCATAGTTCTGAAACACCCTGTATACTATATGCAATCATATTATAATTGCATAGCAGGCATTTCTGATTAATTACAATAGCTTAATCTGTTTTTTGTGTTTGTTTTTTGTATGAACGCTATAAGTTAAGATACTATTATATGTAACTGGATCAGTCTCTTGGGTAATTCTGCATAAATAAATAGATGAAAAATTTAAAATTTGTTAAATTCAAATTATTTTAGATTTTTAATCTTCCTATATTATACGAGTTTTTACATAAAACTCATGACGTATTATATAATATGCGTAACAAAAATGTATTATCACATTATTAGGTGATTTTACGCTATTGGTATTGTAGAAAAAAAACAACTGATATTTTAGTTAAATATCTACTTGACATACAATGTGATTTTACACGCATTTTTTGCAATTCACTTTTTAGTGAATTATGAAGTGATCATTTGCCCCTATTTATCAGACCTTAATTAAATCAAATGCATAATTATTAACTTTGTAATAGATACCGGCTTAATAACATTCACCGATATCACAGTACATTACATATAAACACACATTTTACATTACGTAGAATATCGAATGTCATATTTATTATACCTAATGTTTATCTAAACGTAACCTATTAGAATTTTCAGCCGTAGTGATAACTATCATTTATGCAGGCTAGTATTTTGCGTCATGTTTATACAGATCATGGGTGTAGCGAAACGCTGAACTGCCCCTACTCAATCAAAACACTGCAATATCAATTGAAATAGCTTCAGCTGTAGGTAGTAGAGAAACAGTTAAAAATACATGTTTCGGATGACATAAAACTCATTCAAATTGTGCAGATACATGAACTGCGCTCACTATCCAAAGTATTTATGGACCTTTCCCAAAAAATTAAATACCTTGGTCTAAAAACTAGAACAACGACAATTTCCTTTAAATTAAACTTTGTAGACGTTAGATATAAGCAAGATGAAATTGTGATTACATTTTGAAGTGTAAATACTCGCGGTATCTCTAGATTTCTTTAATAATGTGTTGGACCACCTTGACGCTGTATGCAGGGCGTAAACGTTATGGTAGTCATTACTGAAATGGGTTACAGGGGGGGTCAAAACAAGTCAAAGGGTTCATATGACCCATGGTCCAAGGGTCAATAGATTTATGTATAAATGGCTTTAAAGTTTACATCTTTAAGTGCTTTATTTCCACCACACTCACCACAATGACCACAATCTTACTAATTCATATAATCTAATCTAAAACGTTTTTAAATTGGGTAAATAACATATTTAAAACACAGATGACAACAGCGCGTCGATCTTTCATCACTTTATCGATCCGGAAATCGATCGCAAACGGTAACAATGGTTAGTTATCATTTTGCATAGCATCGGGCGTGTTGTTTTGTTTTTGTTCGCGTACGTCGTCGTGTTCATTTACAATGTTCTCGAATCGAGTTTGCCGACATGTTGTTAGTTTACGGTAAAGCTCGCCAGAATTCAAATCTTGCAGATCTGCGGGTATTTTTGACGATCAGGTAATTGGCCCTTTCAAGTTACACCCAAAATTGTCAGGAGAAGGATACCTTTGCTTTCTAGCCAATAACCTACCAGAACTTTTGGAACAGACCTTAGACAACATGCCATTACAACGGAGATAGAATCTGTAGTTTCTTCATGACGGGGCACCACCACATATTTTTAGAGGCATCATTCAGTATTTGAATAAACATAATCCAAATCGCTGGATCGGTCGAGATGCTCCTGATCCTCGAAAATGGCCAGCAAGATCTCCTGACCTCGATCCGATGGATTTCTGTATTGGGGAGAACTTAAAGGGATGGTTTATGGAGCTGGTCCAATAACAGCACATTCTTTCTTTGTATTTGTTGTCGATTATTTACGGTAATATTATATTTTTTATTTTATTTATTCAACTTACGGGCGAACCCGTTATACATGTGTAATAAATAGAAAAATGCACCGCAAGTGGCGGTACATATGTGGTAACATTAACATATAATAGTATATTAGGCAATCAACTTAGATTAACATAATCATCTGCGAAATTTAATACAGATATTCAAATGAGGAAATGCAATAATCTAGTAATCATAAATTCAAATATTACAAAATCAAAAGACTACTCAAATGTAAACATAGACTTTGATAAATTTCTAACAATATAATTACTCGAATTATACAAATCAAGCCATCTACTGTGTTCATTACATAGTCTAGATAATCTAAAAACAGGAGAATGATTTATCAGATCTGATTTAAGCAGCATGAAAATAAACATTATTACGTCTTCACATTCTTGGTGGCATATAAAATCTGAATTTTGACAATAAACTGAAATTATCAATAATGTCATTAAATAAATTGTAAGCAAATAAAACATCAATCCTGTTCCTAGTACTTCCAAGCGTTGGAATCATAATTTTGTTTGAAATATTTGTGTAGTTGTGATCGGTAAAGATCATTGGCATACCAGTTCTGTATGCAACATATCTTAAAAAGACATGATTGGCTCTTTCAAGAGAATCTATTGGATATTTAAGATAAGGATTCCAAACTACAGAAGCATGGCTTAGAATTGGATATACTAAAGAATAGTACAGAGTTCCGAAGGTGCTAATACTTTTAAAATCTCTTGTAAATCTCTTTAAAAATTGTCAAAGTTATAATCAACATCTTGTAAGTTACATTTACCAAAAGTAATAAAATAACACTTTTTGATGTTAAAAGGTATGCCGTTTAATATACTCCAAATAAGTAACGAATTTATATCATTTTGCACTAAGTATCTATCATAAATAGATCTAATTACTTTATATAATTTTAAGTCATCAGCAAACAACAAAAATTTACAATGACGTATGCTTTGCTCTGTTACCACATGCCTTATGATAATATATAGAGCAAGATTTACATTGAACAGCATTCTTTAACAGAATAGGTCCCTTGTCAGGACACATCAGACATTTACTCATGATGATGAAGCCAAAGTTAAGAACACTAGGCCTGATCAACAATGCATACGCTACTATATGATTGATTTAAATGCCGCATTTTTCGCGCGCTTCGCAATGACGTCAGAACTAATTGTTTGTCATTTTATTCTATGTTTGAATTATTTACTGTCAGGTTTTGATGGGTTATATTTTTCGCAGGCTTCGCAGTGAAATCGCAAAACATGGTTTGCCATTTTATTCTATGTTTGCTAAATATGCCGTCGTGATTTAATGCTAAGTTGTGAAAGTGGTAGTAGTGGCGGAGAGGCAAAGCCAGGCAAGAACGCCACCTTTGGTCCTTTTTGCGGGTACCAAGACTACAACTTCACTTCACATGTTAATTCACTATACTGTTGAACATTCCTGAGCTCCTAATAAATACCAGAATGTCCGATCATTTCGCTTGATAAGCAACTTCACTAACCCGTTCCATGTCTCCGAATATCTCAGCCTTTTGATCGCAATAGCCTAGAAAGTGAAACACTGTTTTGTCCTCCACCGAGCACATGGGACATATTGGGTTTCTCTTAACTCTTCAAAGTGTTTGTTAAGTCAGCAGTGGCCTGTGAGAACCCCTACCAAAAGGTTGAGTGATTTTCTAGGGCCACGTTGACCTGTCTCTTGCTCAATATGCTTCAGGCACTCAGACTATCCAGGCGACCAGATTTCTCGTTGCCCGGCACCCCGTTGTGTCCGTGGACCCAAAGCAGGGTCACACCTTTAGATCGGGCTAAGCTCGAAAGGGCAGTAGTACATTCCTGAACTAAGGGTGATATGGTCCTCGCGATGCCACTAACTTCAGGCCTGCTCGACTCTCTAAGCTCCGTCCAGTGTACTGTTGAATTTCCTCTGAGTATGCCACTATTAAGATGGATAATCAGGTTTTGAAAGGTTCTATTCCTTTTTTGTTTTTTTACCGACGTTGTATCGGCGGTCAAATTCTTCTGCTGGTGGCAGAAAGTACGCTGTCACAGCTGTGTTGAAAAATGTACGCATTATTCTAACTAGATAGTTCAGGGGCGGATTTTTAAAATTTTTTAAAAGCTACTACTGGTACTTTTATAACGTTGAAGTATAAAATGAGTTTAGACAAGGGTTCTCAAATTACATGCAGAGTTAAAACGTTGACGACAGTGGTCCGCAGTCAGAGGAAGCACTAACCGTGGGCAGTATGAAATATGTTCAAAGGCTCGAATGCGGCGATAGAGTGTACGCATAGTAACAAGTCTACCTTCTCCTCCAAACCATTGGTCAGCCATCTAACGCGTAGTAGCAAAACCGTCTCGTTAGGTTAGTTAGTTAAAACGCCTACCTTGACGCTCTGTGGTACGCCTTGGCGGATCCGTTGGCTTTCTTCGTGTTATTCTACCCTCCTCTATCCACACAACAAAAGACCCGCATTACCGTCGTTACAGTACAATTAACACAACAGCCATTTTCGCTATAGGACAAACAAACATCCCGATAGGCAATAAGTCTAACCCTGTCAAGGTCGCTAACATGGTGATAATTTGTCGTCCTCTTTCTTTTTTGTTTTTGTTTTTTGCTACTCGCTCCCCCACCACCACTGACCGACAAACAGATCGGCCTCGTCACTCGGACTGCTAGGCAACGTGGTGCTTCTATCTCTTTCTAATATACGTATCGCATGCTTTAAGCGAATGTCTCTCGTACGCATTACGACGTCAGTGGAATATGGATTTCCCTGTATACGTCGTATAACATCCATAAAACATATCAAATTTTCGAAACTCTTCCCCGTCAGTGGGCGTGGAGTAAGTAAACGAGTAAAAATCAATTTATACTCGTAATACTGTTCTCCTCCTCCGAACCCTTTTGTAACAGTTTTTGTGCACAGCCGTGGTCTGAGCACAACCCTGTGATAATGGTCATTATACATAGTTCATTCTGGCGCACGCGAATGTTCTGTAAAAAGCAGGCAGTCAAATGCATTTATGTCACTGGATTCTATGTATACATATAACTAGGATTAGTTACGCAGCTAGGGTACATGTCGCTTTATACTCCAAATCGGCCTAAAAGCGTTAGTCATAAACTGCGCCTGGCCTTTTGTCCTCAAAACCAGCATACAGGGTGATCTAACAGTACGTAGGTATTAAAGTGATAGTTGTACAAAAAGCTTTTTGATAATCGTAGTTTTACAAAAACAGTTAGTCTGTTTACCCCGCTTAATTTCGGAGAGGTCAAAGACAAGAAAAAATATACTTATGATGGGAAGAGGCTTTTGTCGTATTAAAAACCTTGTTATTCACCCTTGTGAAGGAAAAAAAATCAAATCGCTTTTGAGTAGATTGTTTTTTTATATCTTCGGAAATATAATAATAATAATAATAATAAACCGTCTTTTATTAGAAAAAAACAAATTACAGATAATTCATATATTATTATCTATAATTAGATTAGTGAGCAGCTAATGGCGAAGTTTAGCTATGGCAGCTATTCTTACACTTAACCATTAACTGCATAAGAATATAGATGGTAAACAAGTACAGCTGTAAATAAAATAATAATGAAAATAAATGGAGGAAAATTCCCGTGTAACTGATTACAAACTAAATAAAAATTAGCTTAAAAATATAATCCTGGAGAAAACCACCTTTAAGAATCACCATTGAGCAGAAGAGCTCTTAAGTGCTTTTTAAAACTATACAGCGGCAGGCTTTTTGTTCTGTAATCTAAGCTATTGTACAGTATGCATGCATTATATGAGAAGGACCTGTTAAAAACAGATGAACTATGAAGTGGCATTGTTAAAGCTAATGTGTTACGGATATGTCGTTGATGAACATTATACCTAAAAATTAGTTTTCCACGTAGATAAGTTGGAGTTCCAGAGACAAGTAACTTATGTATAAAGGTTAGATATTTGTATTTAACTAAATCTGTCATCTTTAACCAACCTATTAAAGGATAACGATCCCAAACATGATCAAATTTTCTTAAACTAGATATGAATCGTACGCAGTTATTTTGTACTACAGATATTCTGGTACGACTGGCAAGATCCAAACAAGGATGATAAACTAGATTGCAATAATTAAAAATAGATAACAAAAAAGATTCACACAACTTTTTTCGCACTTTAAAATTCAGCAAATTTTTGTTCGCATACAGAGTTCTCAGACGGATGTAACTTATTTGTAAGAGGTTATTTAAATGTTCACGAAGCCGCACGTTTTCATCAATAAACACACTTTCAGAAAAAGGAAGATTTTGATTGTTAATAGATATACTCAAGGAAGCTTTGACATCGGCTCTTCTGTGATTTGGACAAAACAGCACAGCAGAAGATTTAGAAGCATTAACGGTTAGGCTGTTATTGGCTGAGTAGGTGCAAATAGAGTCAATGTCCTCGTTTATTTCCACAGTAGCAGTCTGGAGGTTCTCAGGATAAAAGAAGTAAAGCAGTTGAGTGTCATCCGCATAAGACTGTAGCTGTGAATTTTGAATGGATTTAGCAATATCGGCTACATAAATTAAAAATAACAAGGGTCCTAAAATTGAGCCCTGAGGCACACCCGAAGTGATAAAGTGCTCATTTGACACAACTCCAGAAACCGAGACGCACTGAGAACGGTGGGTTAGGTATGATTTAAAAAACTGCAGTGCTATTTTATCAAAACCATAAAATTTTAGCTTAGCGCACATCAGTGCGTGATCAATTCTATCAAAGGCCTTGGAGAAATCCAGTGAAACTAAGGCGACACACATTTTTTTATCAAGGGCCCTGATGATGTTGTCCACTAAATTAAGAAGAGCAGTTGTAGAACTGTATGATTTTCTAAAACCAGACTGATGTACTAGGAGTATGTCACTTGAGTCTAAAAAATCTATGAGTTGCAAATAAATAATAAATATCTCGTTGAACTTTCTGTTTGCCATTTTATTGGTTGCACAAATAAGCCCCTATTATCTGACCTTTT